CCTGTAAAAAGCTGTAGCATATTTAGAAAGTCTACATGTACAACATTATTTTTTTTTTTATGCCTTTTAGGTTCCATCTTAAATGAAACATTGTTGTTTACGGAAAGAGAAATTAAGATGTGCTTTATTTCTTACGTGACAGAATTGCAGTTTAGAAGAGCATTATCTGATTGATTGATTGACTGATTGATATGTGTGATTTGACTTGAAGCAAAACTCATCCTGTCTAGGATTTTTTCTTCTAATGTATTATTGCCTATCTTTCATCCAGAAATACCTCTAAAAGGTGCCCACACACCTTGCGATAATCGTACGACAGAGGCGGCTCTCTAATTAGGCGAGTTAGGCGGTCACCTAAGGCCTCGCGCGTGTGAGGGCCTCGCGGCCACCTTGCTCGCCTGTACACCTCACCTGGCCAGCAACTGCTCCCTGTAGTACTGGCAGAACTACTTCTGCCACTTCGTGCAGGGCCGAAACTAGGGAAAGGGGGGGGGCAGGAGGGGCGCTGCCAGAGGTGGACTGCCCGCTTGTGCACTGCCTGAAGGAAGTTTGGCATCGACCGGACCCTTGTGATCTGACGCTTCCGGTGTCCAGGCCGCAACCCGTGGAGACAGGAGACATGTTGTCGTCCCCGTCCCCCGTCCCTCCCCCAGCAGTGGCACCAGCCGGAATCAGAGGGAGGCAGGCAGGAGCGAGCTGGTACCGGAGGAAGTTGACAGAGTCTGCAGGAGCTGGAACACTAAGCAGGTGAGAGCAACAAGTGACATGTGACTGTCCAGGTGAGAAAATACATTGGGGGGAATTTATCAAAACTGGGGCAGAGAGAATCTGGAGCAGTTGCCCATGGCAACCAATCAGCTTCTCTCTTCAGTGTGTTCAGTTAAGATTTAAAAATGAAACCGAGAGGCTGGTTGGTTGCCATGGGCTACTGCTCCAGATTTTGTCTGCTCCAGTTTTGATAAATTCCCTCCATAGCATTTAAATAACACACATTACTTAAACAAATCATTAATAGCATATCAATCTGTGTGGTGCAAATATGCTGTGCGTTCTGTACTATTGATCTCTGTGTTCTTGACTACCAAGCTGTGCGTTCTGTACTATTCATCTCTGCGTTCTTGACTACCAAACTGTGCGTTCTGTACTATTGATCTCTGCGTTCTTGACTACCAAACTGTGCGTTCTGTACTATTGATCTCTGCGTTCTTGACTACCAAACTGTGCGTTCTGTACTATTGATCTTTGCGTTCTTGACTACCAAACTCTGCGTTCTGTACTATCGATCTCTGCGTTCTTGACTACCAAACTGTGGGTTCTGTACTATTGATCTCTGCGTTCTTGACTACCAAGCTGTGCGCTCTGTACTATTGATATCTGCGTTCTTGACTACCAAACTGTGCGCTCTGTACTATTGATCTCTGCGTTCTTGACTACCAAACTCTGCGTTCTGTACTATTGATCTCTGCGTTCCTGACTACCAAACTGTGCGTTCTGTACTATTGATCTCTGTGTTCTTGACTACCAAGCTGTGCGCTCTGTACTATTGATATCTGCGTTCTTGACTACCAAACTAAACTGTGCGTTCTGTACTATTGATCTCTGCGTTCTTGACTACCAAACTCTGCTTTCTGTACTATTGATCTCTGCGTTCTTGACTACCAAACTCTGCGTTCTGTACTATTGATCTCTGCGTTCTTGACTATCAAACTGTACGTTCTGTACTATTGATCTCTGCGTTCTGGACTACCAAGCTGTGCGTTCTGTACTATTGATCTCTGCATTCTGGACTACCAAGCTGTGCGTTCTGTACTATTGATCGGTCCAGTGCGATCTGCAAAAAATGCTGCACTCTGTGTGTGCGTTCCTTACACCTGACCTCTGCACGCTGTGCGTGCATTCCTTACTTCTGCCCTCTGTGGCTGCGTTCCTTACTTCTAACCCCTGCACTCTGTGCGTTCCTTACATCTGACCTCTGCACTCTGTGTGTTCCATACATCTGACCTCTGCACTCTGTGCGTTCCTTACATCTGACCTCTGTGCATTCCCTACATCTGACCTCTGCACTCTGTGCGTTCCTTACATCTGCACTTTGTGCGTTCCTTACATCTGACCTCTGCACTCTGTGCGTTCCTTACATCTGACCTCTGTGCATTCCCTACATCTGACCTCTGCACTCTGTGCTTTCCTTACATCTGACCTCTGCACTCTGTGCGTTCCTTACATCTGACCTCTGCACTCTGTGCGTTCCTTACATCTGACCTCTGCACTCTGTGCGTTAACTTATTAAAAAAAAATTCAACAAACATGTAATTTATTTGGACCTTTTCTATAAACACATGGGTGTCAGTGTATAGATCTCTCTGCTTTGCCACATTTTGGCAAGCAATGTTGGAGCTGAACAAGGCCAAAAGGAATGGCTTAAATAATCATAATTCTCTATGCAACGACGAATCCGCTGGCACAAGAACTTTGGCAAACAGTACATCCTACAGCACTCTTTACTGCTGCCAATGCTTTTGGTTCAACTAGTCGAAATGAGAACAAGTGATTTGTCACTACATTTGTTTTCTTTTTTTCTTCTACCTGCACTAAGCACATAGTCATTGTAGATGCATTAAAAACTGATTTTTAAAAGCTCTCAAAGCCCATTTCAACTCCAATTTGGAAAATATGAATGCAGATTATAATGGGGGTGCCGACAGTAGTCCTGGCAAGCTTTTAGCATTTAGCCTTCAGCAAGGTGAACACTGAACTCCATGCAGTTATAAAGAAAACACCAAGTAATGCAGTTATGTATTTTAATAATTCATAATAACATTTATTTTTAAATGCAGCTAGTGTAAGCACCTGAATTTGACTTGAAATCCCCTATACAGCAGAGGTCAGACCGGGAGACTGAGGGGCTCCATTATGAATCTGTGTGATGGCAAGGAAAATGCTGACAAGAGAGAACAGAGGGATGAGTTAATCAGTCTGCTGCTGCTCTTCACTGTCCAATCACAGGTTGGGGTCAGGGAAGTGACCTAACTGTATTTTTAACTGCAGTAGAGAAGTCTGGACACCAACCTGATTGTGCCATCTGGCAAGGCTGTATAAATCTCAGGAGAGGCTGGATATTACTATTATTATACATTATTTATATAGCGCAATATAGAGAATTTTAGCATCTGGATAGTGGGAGACTGCTAGGATGCCTACCCCAAAGCTCAGGAAATGTCTACTCTATACAAGTTAGAAAATAAAGAGTTTCCCTAAACACTAAATAGCAATGCATGTAATGAACAGGAAAGCGGTAATGTAAATGGTGAATAATAAATGCATAAAAAACTTTGGGTCAGTAAAAAACTAAGAGTAAAATAATACATTTTGTCAATATATTAAAGTGAAGAAGTAATGACTAAAGCAGGAAATTTCCTAACAAAAATAAAATGCAAAAGTGAAAAACAAATGCTACTTACTTAAAGGCCAAGTCCACCCAGAAATAATAATTTGGTTTCTGCTGGAAACTAATTTCTTGGGGCCTCATGTGAGACCTCCCTGATAGAATTACTTGGTGTGCCCCTTAATCCCCTTACTGGCACCACTGAGAAGACCAACACATCACCCTTGCTGCATTATGATGTATAACAAATCAGTGACAACAGAAAATGATGGAGCCAACCAACACAGGGGCTCAAAAAAATATGTTGAATAGTATATCTCACATTGGGTGTTTCTCCAAGTGCTCCACTCACAGTGCTGCAGTATCACGCTTCTTTTTCCCAAGGTGTCATGGCTTGTGTAAAATGCTGAAGTGCCACAATACGCATTTTAGGAAGGTGTGTATAATGCTATTCGTGCCAATACAGTGTAAGAAAGAAAATTTCCACACGTGTCCAAGTGTCATATCTTCATTATGGCCTACTGGTGTAAAGGTAAAAAGGCCGACAGAAGAGAGATTTTGGTGATGGAGTCCCTGAGAAATATATAAATTTAGTACTGAATGGATTCCAGTCTTTGCTGCTCCACATCTCGCCACCCCCCCGGCCATTCAGCATACATCACTCAGCAGATAAATGGACTGCATTCTTTTAAAGTAAATGGTTTCATGTTACCTGTACTACAACTGACTCCCAATAAACACACTGGTTTATTGGGAGTCAGACGCTGACACAGACAAATGCAAAAATAGTGAAGAGCGTTACGGAGAAAGCTAAGGTACCAGCGGAGACGTGGAATTCTTGTCCCTGTGATGCCCAGTAGATGGCAGCAACAGACCAGGCTAGACCAATACCAATGTAACTAGAGCTAGCTATAATACAAAGGTTTGTGTTACTCTTTACATCCATAGATGCAGCTAGGGTGTTGACATGTAAACATGGAGTCTCCCACATATTCTTTAGCTGTTAACTGTAAATTAAGGTCGACAGCCACTTTTATGCATTTTTCTTCCATTTTCTGAGTTTGCAGTGAGAACAAATTGAGAAACAAAAAAGGAGAGAGATAAATAGATAGATACCACTGTTTTATCAGTTTGACATTTGTGAATATTGAGATTTTTTAAAATCTATGTCAATGGTTTAGTTTAAATACGAAATAAATACAAAAGTTTTTAAAAGCGATTCTGGTGAACAAAACAAACAAAAACTCAACAAAAGAAGATTCAACTAAACCAGAATAAGGGAATTGTTGCTGGTTATTATGCCATTGGTCAAAGTATGATGTTTCTTGGTACCCAAAGTGGCACAAATAGCTCCCTTCTGTTATTCTGATTTAAAAAGTGACCAGTATTTAAAGTGTATACACTGTTCTGTTTGTCAAGAATTTGCTAGAAAGAGCTTTCCTATTTATAGGGGTCTCGCAGAGTACTGCTATTTTTGCACATCAACCAATGATACTAGTCACACAGTCCTTTAGATTATATTGTCGCTAATCTCCAACAGAGCTCTGATTGGCTGGTATCATTTCTGCTCTGGAGATCCTCCTCAAGGAGACTGCCGACAGTTGAGTACAGCGGATTTGTTGCTGGCTTATGCTTGTCTTCATTTAGAATCCCTTGATGTAACAATAGGCTTCCAGAGTAGCAAATAAAATATAAAGTAACCACAAGGTTACAAAGAGCAAAGTTGTGGCAAGTCTACAGCTTCTGGGGCCTCCCAGTTCCCCACCAATACTAGGCCGCCTCCTATACAGCAAGACGCTGACACAGACAAATGCAAAAATAGTGAAGAGCGTTACGGAGAAAGCTAAGGTACCAGCGGAGACGTGGAATTCTTGTCCCTGTGATGCCCAGTAGATGGCAGCAACAGACCAGGCTAGACCAATACCAAGGAAAACATTGACAGCGTTGCTCCCGGTCACGTTCCCAATTGAAGCGTCTGCATACACATCCTGTGTAGCAGCTACTTTGCTTGCAAACGTATCTAGGGGAAGAAAAATAATACACTGAGCATTAGAAAATACTGAATATTGTTCACTTCTTTTATTTAAGCCTGACACCTATTCAACAGACACATCATTTTATCACAATACAATTTTCATTTCCACCTGTAAAAAGCTGTAGCATATTTAGAAAGTCTACATGTACAACATTATTTTTTTTTTTATGCCTTTTAGGTTCCATCTTAAATGAAACATTGTTGTTTACGGAAAGAGAAATTAAGATGTGCTTTATTTCTTACGTGACAGAATTGCAGTTTAGAAGAGCATTATCTGATTGATTGATTGACTGATTGATATGTGTGATTTGACTTGAAGCAAAACTCATCCTGTCTAGGATTTTTTCTTCTAATGTATTATTGCCTATCTTTCATCCAGAAATACCTCTAAAAGGTGCCCACACACCTTGCGATAATCGTACGACAGAGGCGGCTCTCTAATTAGGCGAGTTAGGCGGTCACCTAAGGCCTCGCGCGTGTGAGGGCCTCGCGGCCACCTTGCTCGCCTGTACACCTCACCTGGCCAGCAACTGCTCCCTGTAGTACTGGCAGAACTACTTCTGCCACTTCGTGCAGGGCCGAACCTAGGGAAATGGGGGGGGCAGGAGGGGCGCTGCCAGAGGGGGACTGCCCGCTTGTGCACTGCCTGAAGGAAGTTTGGCATCGACCGGACCCTTGTGATCTGACGCTTCCGGTGTCCAGGCCGCAACCCGTGGAGACAGGAGACATGTTGTCGTCCCCGTCCCCCGTCCCTCCCCCAGCAGTGGCACCAGCCGGAATCAGAGGGAGGCAGGCAGGAGCGAGCTGGTACCGGAGGAAGTTGACAGAGTCTGCAGGAGCTGGAACACTAAGCAGGTGAGAGCAACAAGTGACATGTGACTGTCCAGGTGAGAAAATACATTGGGGGGAATTTATCAAAACTGGGGCAGAGAGAATCTGGAGCAGTTGCCCATGGCAACCAATCAGCTTCTCTCTTCAGTGTGTTCAGTTAAGATTTAAAAATGAAACCGAGAGGCTGGTTGGTTGCCATGGGCTACTGCTCCAGATTTTGTCTGCTCCAGTTTTGATAAATTCCCTCCATAGCATTTAAATAACACACATTACTTAAACAAATCATTAATAGCATATCAATCTGTGTGGTGCAAATATGCTGTGCGTTCTGTACTATTGATCTCTGTGTTCTTGACTACCAAGCTGTGCGTTCTGTACTATTCATCTCTGCGTTCTTGACTACCAAACTGTGCGTTCTGTACTATTGATCTTTGCGTTCTTGACTACCAAACTCTGCGTTCTGTACTATCGATCTCTGCGTTCTTGACTACCAAACTGTGGGTTCTGTACTATTGATCTCTGCGTTCTTGACTACCAAGCTGTGCGCTCTGTACTATTGATCTCTGCGTTCTGGACTACCAAGCTGTGCGTTCTGTACTATTGATCTCTGCGTTCTGGACTACCAAGCTGTGCGTTCTGTACTATTGATCTCTGCGTTCTGGACTACCAAGCTGTGCGTTCTGTACTATTGATCTCTGCGTTCTGGACTACCAAGCTGTGCGTTCTGTACTATTGATCTCTGCGTTCTGGACTACCAAGCTGTGCGTTCTGTACTATTGATCTCTGCGTTCTGGACTACCAAGCTGTGCGTTCTGTACTATTGATCTCTGCGTTCTGGACTACCAAGCTGTGCGTTCTGTACTATTGATCTCTGCGTTCTGGACTACCAAGCTGTGCGTTCTGTACTATTGATCTCTGCATTCTGGACTACCAAGCTGTGCGTTCTGTACTATTGATCGGTCCAGTGCGATCTGCAAAAAATGCTGCACTCTGTGTGTGCGTTCCTTACACCTGACCTCTGCACGCTGTGCGTGCATTCCTTACTTCTGCCCTCTGTGGCTGCGTTCCTTACTTCTAACCCCTGCACTCTGTGCGTTCCTTACATCTGACCTCTGCACTCTGTGTGTTCCATACATCTGACCTCTGCACTCTGTGCGTTCCTTACATCTGACCTCTGTGCATTCCCTACATCTGACCTCTGCACTCTGTGCGTTCCTTACATCTGCACTTTGTGCGTTCCTTACATCTGACCTCTGCACTCTGTGCGTTCCTTACATCTGACCTCTGCGCGTTCCTTGCATCTAACCTCTGTGCATTCCCTACATCTGACCTCAGCACTCTGTGCGTTCCTTACATCTGACCTCTGCACTCTGTGCGTTCCTTACATCTGACCTCTACACTCTGTGCGTTCCTTGCATCTGACCTCTGCACTCTGTGCGTTCTTTACATCTGACCTTTGTTCATTCCCTACATCTGACCTCTGCACTCTGTGTGTTCCTTACATCTGACCTCTGTGCATTCACTACATCTGACCTCTGCACTCTGTGCATTCCCTACAACTGACCTCTGCACTCTGTGCGCTCCTTACATCTGACCTCTGCACTCTGTGTGTTCCTTACATCTGACCTCTGTGCATTCACTACATCTGACCTCTGCACTCTGTGCGTTCCTTACATCTGACCTCTGCACTCTGTGGGTTACTTCCATAGGGTTAATGTTTTGTGTATAGTTATTTGTAGAATTAGAATACGAGTCAGAAATCAAATTCTAGCTCTAGGAGTTGTAAATTCCTGGCTGCTGGGATTAAAGGAGAAAAGGAGAGTCTTACAATATGCAATATATGCAGTTCATTTTTAATTATTATTTGCATTTTCTTTCATTATGGGTGTAAGTGGGGGGCCTCACGTTTTGAGTTTGCCTAAGGCCTCACAAAGTCTAGAGCCGCCTCTGTCGTACGATAACCGCGGGAAATCCCGAGATCGTACGACTATCGTAAGGTGTGAAGCCGTGCGACCTCTACTACTGTAAGGTCGCACGACTTTTATCTTACGAACATGTTTGAAAACCCGCCGAGAATCGTACGATTTTCGGCGGGTGTGTAGCATGTTCATAAGATAAAAGCCGGACGGGCCGGTGTGCGCAAGCGCACACTGCCCGTTCGGCATTGCGGTCATTGCGGTCAGCGGGGCGGGCTTGCGATCATCGCAAGTACGATCTGCCTGTCCAAGATAGGCAGATTGTACGTTTTTTTAATTACATTAATTACCTTACAACCAAGCCTTACACAGAGAGGGAAATTTATCAAAACTGGAGCAGACACAATCTGGAGCAGCTGTCCATGGCAACCAATCAGCTTCTCTCTTTAGGTTGTTCAGTTAAGATTTGAAAATGAAAGGGAGAAGCTGATCTTAATATAAAGCATGCCCATTGGGGGGAGGAGTAAGGAGAGCTGTCAGCATAGTTGGCACACTACTAGGGACCAGAGCTCTGGACAGAAGTTGTCAGGGAAGAGGGAACATCAATTCATGGAAATCTCTTTCCCTCTTTTTTCTAGCTAAATACTCTGGGGGGAAAGTTATCAAAGCTGGAGCAAACAGAATCTGGAGCAGTTGCCCTTGGCAACCAATCAGCATCTCTTTTCAGTTTGCTCAGGTAAGATTTGAAAATGAGAAAGAGAAGCTGATTGGATGCAGTGCAAATCTGCTCCAGATTTTGTCTGCTCCAGTTTTGATAAATGGGGGGAATTTATCAAAACTGGACCAAACAATCTGGAGCAACCACTGAGCATCTCTTTTCCGTTTGCTCAGGTAAGATTTGAAAATGAGAAAGAGAAGCTGATTTGGCTGCAGTGCAAATCGGCTCCAGTTTTGATAAATTCTCTATCCTCAGTAGCTCCCCAGTCTTTTTCAGCAACTCAGATTGCAGGCCCGCATTGCTTCATTGTAAAGTATAAGCACTCCCACTCCTTCCAATGCCACAGCCTCTGACTAACAATTCTGAATGTTCTTTTTGTATGTCTGATAACAGCTCTTCTTAATTGGAAATATCACAGGTGGTACAGGGTAAGTTACAGGGTAACAGTTACTTCTGAAATCCTTAAAGAAGAACTTGCAAATTTTTATTAAGCCTTGCAATGGAGGGTACCCAGCACTGCAAGGATTAAGTGCCCGTTTTGGTCTATGGAGGAAAATAAAGTTAGCGTATATTCACTTGATCCTCTGAGCCGGCCAGCTATAACAGCGCTCCCCCTGCTCGTCTCCTCCTTAGCTCCTTGTTCCTCTGCGTCCTCACGTCCTATACACTGTGTATAGAACTTGATGACTTAGGGACCTTAGACTGATGCAGTGGAGGGGGAACAAGGCTGGAAGGATTGGTCTCAGAGCCAGGTGGCTTGGTGGATCGGATGAGTATAACTTTTTACATTTTCCTCCCTAGACCATAACAAACAGTTAACCCTTGCAGTACAGGGGTAGCCCCACTGCAAGGGTTAATACAAATTTTGTCCAGCGTTCTTTTTTAAATGTACAGTACTTTCCACACAATTTGCACACACATTTTCTATGTTTTTGACCTCAAGAGCTGCCTAATGGTGGCCCAGGCAAGCAACAGACCCAATCTAAATTTTTCACCTTAGGTCTACTTTAATGTAGCTGTCTGCCACATGCGGTAGGGCAATAAATCCTGGGTGCCTTTTAAGATGGGCAGAACATGTATCCAACATTTTTTGGATTTTAATTTTTTACATTTGAATTTTTCTACGGACTTTCCAATCACAACATGGGAAAGCAAAGATAACACAATAATCATAGGTAATGTTATACATGGAGGTGTATTTGTTCTCCCTTTTACATGATGAGTTTTAGTTTTCCCATTCATTGATTGCATTAGTTTCTTCTCAGCCCTGTCACTACAGGATAATGATACACAGTAACTAGTAGGAAGAGGAGTCTCTGAGTAACTCATGTAGCAAATTCTGCTACAGGTGTCCCACACTTTTGTCCGTCTGTGTTTGAGGTGCCATTAACTAGTAATGGCACTGCAACTGTGTTGTGCGATTTTGACATGTTCCGTGAACGCACGTCAAAGCTTGCAATTTTTCCCCAAATTTGGTGCGCATTCACTGAACGCCTAGATGTAAATTAATGCAGACAGTTTCAGTCTGTTACAGACATAAGACCAATGGCAAATGAGGAGCAAACAATGGGTACATGTTCTCAGTCAGTGTACTTTGTATTTCTAGACAACAGACTCAGTTTCATAAGTTATCTTTCATGTGCTATTTGTAATGACCCATCAGCCATATGACTGTCTTTTTTCAGCTCTCACTGCAGAAAATAATGGTTGTAATGGCCAATAGCAACTGTTATAGTGAATTGAGCTAAACGTCTGTGAAGACCAAACAAAGCAATATTTTTGTTTCTAAAAAGGCTGCTGTGCAATCTCTTTATGTGAAGTTGCTACACTGGCATAAATTGTCAGGTAAAACCAGTGTTCCTCATTGCACAGTGCCTTTAGCTTACTTGTGATTAATGTACATGATGTCCTTTAGACAAAACAATAGATGTGCATGTATAGTATATCTACTAGTGTGAGGAAAACTTACCAGGTACTGACGTGCCAAAGGCCACAAACACCACAGCAGTTACAGAGTCTTTCAGGCCAATTGTACAGCCAAAATGAGAAGCAAGGTCTCCTATGATGGCAGTAAGGATGCCAATGATGATGATTGACACTACAAAGCAGGCCCATCCATTCAAATATTCTGTAGGTGGTACACAAGCAAATAGTACTTTCCAGAAGACAGTCAGAAAATGCATGACATAATCAAAACAGGATGGCAGACGCTCTTCTCCAGATTCATCTTCATCTTCATCTCCAGCTATATTCATGACATACAAGAAAACACATTTACCAACTTGAAAATAAGAACGTAAAGTGTACCAACAATGTAAAGTTTACCAAATGTGTGCAAACCGTGGTGGAAGGGAAGCCATGATTGGTGATGAATTAGTAACCTGATTGAACAACTTGTAGGTTTAAAAGAAAATAGTAGCATTAACAAATCTGTAACATTTTGTGATATACATTTTGCATTGTTGCAATATCCAAAGCTTTAACCTATCTAACAGGAGTTGGGTATCCAAGTAATATTATCCACTTTGCATTCAAAGCAATTTTTATGTTTTGCACACATGTTAAAATCTTAATTTTTGGCTTAAAAAAAATCAAACAATTTTTTGAAAGCAGAGGCCCTGTAGTATAAAAAAATGCTATTTGCAAGTTTTTATTTCGCACAATATTTGCAGAAATGTTTATCAATATTTTTAGTAAAAATAAACTATAATGAATTTTAGTACAAACACACACAGAACATAATACCCATATTTTTGGTAAACTAAAGATCCGGTCGTGTCAGGTAAATAGATATCAAACTTACATGCACCCATGAAATGGCAAAATAAACCTACAGTACCCAACATTGCCCATAGGCAATCACTGCTCATTAAATTAGAGTTAGCAGTGAGTGTTTGCATTTGTATGTATATGTAGGAGTGAAGGGCTTAATAAACGTTTTTTTTTGCATTAAAAAAGTCACATATTGAAGGGCGTGGCTAAGTAATGGAGGAGTGAGGAGCGTGCTGCTTTTGTTCCGGACCCAACTTTTGTTTATTCACCAGCTATACCAGCACAAGCTCTTTATTTTTGCCCATGACAAGGCAGAGTAAACAGCGTGACTCACAGTTCACCCCTAAAACTGCCTTCAAGCACCTCTTTGATGCTCTGGGACCCTCCTCTGACGCTGAGCATACACCGCTGCAGGCTCTCCTGCACTGCAAACGCTGGAGTGTGACTCATTGCCCGCGGCCTCCCCAGATGATTTGTAGCCTGAGATGGAACCCATGGCGCCCGGTGAGTCCCCGCAAGCCTTCTCACCCAAGTCCCCCCAGTCTCTTCCCATTTCTTTTCGGGCAAGATCGGATGTGGCTTCTGGGAGCACGGCGGCCTTGGCGCCTTCTCCAGCCAGCCGCGCGGCTGCTCCATCATACAGCTGCCTCCACCACCCGCCATTGACACCACCGCAGGTTAGCTCAGTGGCTCCTGCACTGCCTCTAGAGCAGAGAAAACAGGGGATTGAATTGAGGGAAGCCCCATTACCTTCCCGTTCTTCCTGCTTTTCGTTGCCTACTCAACATCCACCATGTGATAAAGATACTACATGGACGCATCGCCCTGTGCAAGTGGATGCTGGTGACCCATCTGAATCTTGGCGTGCCGAGTTCAAGGAATTTTTAAGTTATCTTCCCACTAAAGCTGACCTGGTGGCCTTACTCCCTACCAAAGCTGATTTAGAGGCGTTTACTCTTTGTGTTGAATCTGCATACTAGCTAGCAATTGCAGATGTTAAAGAGATTTCTACTGTTACGTCTAAAGTCATTGCTATTGAACAATCTCAGTCAGACCTCATCCGCAGAATCACACAACTGGAAGATGCACACTCTTCCTCCATGCAACAGATGGCTGCAAGGCCTGGATGATCAGGGTAATTGGGGCAGGAGGAATACAGTCTGCATTAAAGGTATCCCTGGATCGGCTGCTGCTGCGGATCTGAAGACCACAGTTCAAGGTTTCTTTAATCCATACCTGGAACACTCTCCCGATACCCCCTTGTAAATTGACCGAGCCCATAGATCCTTAGGCCGTCGGCCACCAGACTCTCACACACCAAGGGACGTCATTTGCCGTATCCATCTTTACGCAATGAAGGAGGAGATTGCACAGATGCATCTTATTCTTGATTTATTCAGAAACATATCCATATGCAGTAATTTGGAGGTTTTTGTGTATCTTCTTAGCTGCTTATTGTTTTCTTCTTTTTTCCATTTCTTCTCTCTATCTTCCCTCGCTTTTCTTTCTTCCTGCTTCTTTCCGACTCACTGTAGTACCTTTCTGCTTCTCCTCTTCTTATCCTCCTTGCTTCCCCTCCCTTTCCCCTCTCTTCTCCCCCCCATTACAGAATGGACCTGCTTCAGATAATCTCGTACAATGTTAAAGGCCTCAACATTCTGGAGAAGCGCAGGATGATCTTGACTGAGCTTCACCGGCAACGGGCGCAGATAGGATTCCTTCAGAGCCCCCATGTTTCATGATCACCATTACCCTACAGTGTATCACAGTTACCCGCATGACAAAAAAATCATGTGGGGTATGCATCCTTCTCTCTCAGTCAGTCCACTGGACTCTGCTCGACATGTATGCCGGAGCAAGCTGCTTTTGGTCAAAGGGCAGATAGGTACTCAGACCGTTCACTTGTCAATGTTTACTTGCCTAACCTGGGTCAGATCTCCTTCTTGGATCGTATGCTTGAGCTGTTAGACAACTTTAAGGAAGGCCATTTGATCGGGGTTGATTTAAACTTGCTTTTTGATCGGCATCTGGATTCATCTAGGTCCTCTCCCCCCCCCCCCCCCCCCCCATATTCTTTTGCCACTCTGAAGTGTGTCAAGAAAAGCCTCCATCTTTTCCAATTGATGGATGTATGGCGGATCCATTATCCCACTACTCAGGATTATTCTTTCTACTCCTATTCCCATATAACTCATACCCGCATTGATTTTTACTTGGTCCATCATAGTTATACCCTCTCTTTCAGATCATGTCCCCATTGCGATCACTTTAGACTTTGGTCAGGCTTCGTCTCGTTCTTGATGTTGGCGTTTGAACCAATCCCTTATATGTGACCCCACAACTGTCGCAGAGGTTGAACGGGACCTATGGTCTTATTTGATTTGAATGCTTCCTCTGCCTGTTCCCCCTACAATGTGTGGGAGGCTCATAAAGCCTTCATTAGGGGCAAACCTGTTAGGGTTAATAGAGAGAATCACTCTGTTATTTGCCCATGCGGCATTGTTTAAATGTTGTCGTCATTTTTACGAATATGGCAACCAAAGCAGCAGGTTTATGCCCCGTGCGCTCCGTCTTCAATGCTCTAAAACATATGTATCCGTGATAAATTCCTCTGCACGCTCCTCTCTTCATCTGTCTAAAGACATTGCTGCAGCCTTCTGGGACTATTATTCCCACTCTATACAACCTTCCTTCTCCTTCCTCTGCTCTGACTTTGTCCCAACGCCAACAACGTATTCACCAATTCACATGTGTGGTGACACCAAACAATTTCCATGGACCCCGCACATCCCCAGTTACACTGCACAGTGGGGGGGATCTATCAAAACCGGAGCAGGCGAAAACTGGAGCAGCTGTGCATGGCAGCCAATCAGCTTCTCTCTCTCATTTTCAAATCTTAACGGAACAAACTGAAGAGAGAAGCTGATTGGTTGCCATCGGCAACTGCTCTAGATTCTGTTTGCTCCAATTTTGATCAATTTCCCCCCATGTCTTTTTATCTGTTCTAGCAATCATATATGTAAATGAGAAGAATGGTGGGGGGAGGGGGTAACCTGGACTTGGGGCAGCAGAGTGTAGATGTGACCCAGGATAAGGGGGAGATCTGAGAGAGATACAGGAGATCACTTGTCCTGTTCTATAGACAAATGTTTGCCCTGTGGGTAACCAAAATCCATGTAACTTCCAGGATAGGTTTGGAAGATGGGAACCTAGGTTGTGCAAAGTTTCAAGGCATTTGATTGAGGTTTAGGCACAATATGGTACATTGAGCTCTTTTTAAATTAAGCTAAATGTTTTCCAGGAATGTAATAAAATAGTTTAATGTGAATAACTTTTGGTATGTTTTATCAAACGACCCCACATCTTCAGAATATGTTGGCATAGAGTCGTGTGCTATGGGAAGTTTGGGGGAAATTGGTTAACATCTAAGTTGGTTTATGTACGTTAAGCCACATTAAGCTCCCCAAAAAACAAGCTTAATGTCACTCATTTGCCCTGTGGGTAACCAAAATCCATGAAACTTCCAGGATAGGTTTGGGAAGATGGGAAACTAGGTTGTGCAAAGTTTCAAGGCATTTGATTGAGGTTTAGGCACAATATGGTACATTAAGCTCTTTTTACATTAAGCTAAATGCTTTCCAGGAATGTAATAAAATAGTTTAATGTGAAAAACTTTTGGTATGTTTTATAAAATGACCCCAAATCTTCAGAATATGTTGGCATAGATAGAGTAGTGTGGTATGGGAAGTTTGGGGGAAATTGGTTAACATCTAAGTTGCTTTATGTACGTTAAGCCACAATAAGCTCCCCAAAAAACAAGCTTAATGTCCCTCATTTGCCTTGTGGGTAACCAAAATCCATGAAACTTCCAACATAGGTTTGGGAAGATGGGAAACTAGGTTGTGCAAAGTTTTAAGGCATTTGATCGAGGTTTAGATACTTTTTTACACATTAAGCTCTTTTTACATTAAGCTGTTCACATTAAATGTTTTAGGATTGTAATAAAATAGTTTAATGTGAATAACTTTTGGTATGTTTTATCAAATGACCCCAAATCTTCAGAATATGCTGGCATAGATAGAGTCTTGTAGTATGGTAAGTTTGTGGGAAATTGGTTAACATCTAAGTTGTATTTTGTACGTTAAGCCACATTAAGCTCCCAAAAAAACAAGCTTAATGTCACTCATTTGCCTTGTGGGTAACCAAAATCCATGAAACCTTCAGGATAGGTTTGGGAAGCTGAGCCCTTGGGTTGTGCAAAGTTTCAAGGCAATTGATTGAGGTTTAGGCACATTATGGTACATTAAGCTACATTAAGCTATTTTCACATTAAATGTTTTAGGATGTCCCTCCTGGGCAACCCCCTGATGATTCATGAATTAGAGGCCGCCATCAAACACACACACACACACACACACACACACAAACCGGCAAAGCCCCAAGTCCTGATGGCTTTTCTCTTTCCTATTACAA